AGTTAGTCAGTGATCCCAGATTATTGAAATTTGTGGACTTACCTTGCGCAAGAAGCGAACAATGTTGAAAGCAGCACCAGAGTCAAGACCGGAAGTGGGTTCGTCAAGAAACATGAGCAGTTCAGGTTTGCTTGCAAGCTCCACGCCGATGGTAAGACGCTTCCTCTGTTCTTGGTTGAGCCCATTTCCAGCCGTACCGATAGCTGCACCAGCAATGTCGCGCATCTCAAGCAGATCGATGATCTTCTCGACGTAGTCGTACTTCTCCTGGATGGGTACCTCCTTAGGTTGCCTCAACCGCGCTGAGAATTGAAGTGCTTCGCGTACTGTCGCTGTAGATTCGTGTACATCCATTTGCTCTGCGAAACCGGTCGAACGCTGGAAGGATTGCGGAAGTGGCTTTCCATCGACCAAGAAGTCTCCACGAACAACGCCAAAATCGATGCGCTGGGCAAGGGTGTTTAGCAATGTCGTCTTACCGGCACCCGATGCACCCATCAGCGCAGTAAGCTTGCCGGGTCTGACAAAGCCCTGAACGCCCTTGAGTAACGTTCTCTCGCCCTTCTCGTATGGAATAGTGTAGGTAATGTCTTGGAATGTGAAGATTGTCTCGTTCTTCGCCACACCTTCAGCCGTCTTGTCGGAGTCGTCGTTGTCGCTGGAGTGTTTCTCGGTGATCGGTTCGCCATTGCCAGCTTCCTCATCCTTGGGTAGGGTCTTGGTTTCCATCTCTTTCTCAACAGTCTTGGGTACTTGGCCGCGCTTGTAGATAGTGACTGCTCCTCCGCCTTTGTTGGGCTTCTGTATTTCCATACCGAAAGCAGTTAGCGCCACGAAGAAGAGGAAGAAGGCACAGATGAAGCCAAAGTTGCGCCAAAGATGCGATCTGCTGTAGCCAAACGCTGCAGAGATATAGTCCGGACCGGCGACCGTAAGCGATCCAGGCCTGTTGCCTTGGATAGCGCAAGATTGGTACTGCTCCTGGGCACCAGGAATTTGCGGCGCGATGAATGGGGGTACACACTGAATCTCGAGGTTGTAGAACTCGTTCGCTAGGAGACCTTCGAAGCCGTATTGAATGGGGTTGATCCAACGTAGCCACGAAAACCAGGGATGCATCTTCGCCGGAGGGATCAAATAGCCAGTGTATACGACAAGTGCCTGGATAGCCACACCAGTAATCCGAGTTGCGACGTCCAAGGACCCTACCAAGGCACCGATGGCTCTGAAGAAAGCGTACATGGTCATTGTGATGATCCAGAGGAAGAGGAGTGAGATAAAGAACTGCGATGCTGTTCGCGAAAGGTTTGCCATGAAGTACACAACAATGTCGAAGATGAACACCTGAACTAGCACTAGGGGCATGTCGATAAGGGTCTGCGCAATAGCGTAGGCAGCCGGTCGATAGAAGGAGAAGGTCTTGTGCTTCAGTAGAATGGGTCGGGATTCGAAAGCGGAAGTAAGCTCAGCGAGAGCGAGAAGGGCGTTGAAAAGCAGCATGAAACTACAAAAGTGACGAAGTTAGTGTATGTCTCACATGCATTTCGTATAGCCACAACTTACAAGATTACACCACCTCGCGGAAATACACCCTGCGCAGTGTTTGGAAGGTTATAGAACAACGACCCGACGATAAGGGCCTGAAAGAAGATGCCACCCCATTTGCCAATAAGAGATTGCGGGTCTCCCACCATGACGCGAAATTGGCGATCGGTACAGGCGACGACCTGAGCTGGGAACGAGATGGTGAAGTTCTTCTTCTTGGTAGCTTTAGTTCGTGCCTGGTGACGTTCTTCAGCCTGCTTCTTGGTCTCCTTGTCGAACTCGTCGATCTCGGCCAGGTTATCATTCGCTTGCTCGCTGCTGGCAAATGCTTCTCCAAAAGCCGCGCCAGTGCGAGGAATGCGATCTTCCCAGCCCTCCTTGATCTGTCGCTCGTGATCATCGGTTACGGACGTCAAGAAGTCACTGGTGGTCCAGCGCTCGGGTTTAACGAAGCCAAGATTCTTGAAATACTCCGCGGCTTTCTCGGTGGGCCCAAAGTAGCAGCAGCGGCCTTCGTGAATTAAAAGAACCTTGTCGAAAAGGTCGTACAAAGACTCGCCGGCCTGGTAAAGCGCTACAGCAGTCGAGATTTGGGCCATATTCGTAAGAGATCGCAGACTCTGAACGTATTCGAGAGCGGTGCTCGCATCGAGACCTTTTGTCGAGTTGTCCCAAGACTGTACGGATGCCTTGGTCACCATGGCCTCCGCGATCGAAACACGCTTCTTCTCACCACCAGACACACCACGAATCAGTTCGTTGCCAACCTTTGTACCCAGGGTGTGCTCAATCCAGAAAAGCTTGGTGACTACACGAAGGAACTCGTTGACATAGTCGTTGCGGGACTCGCCTTCCTTTCGTGACTCTTTACCAGGCGTCCTTGTCTTCAAGGCGAACCTGAGTGTGTCTTTGACCTTGAGCGTCGCGTAGTGGAGGTCCTCTTCGGGATTGTAAAGCACCTCCGAACGATACTTCTTGCCCATCTCGTCTGCGTCAGTACCGCCATACGAGACGTCGCCTGTGATCTCTTCGTAGCCGTATCGTTGGTTGCCGATCATCTTGAGGAATGTTGAGCAACCTGCCCCAGGTCTACCAAGAACTAACACCATCTCGCCAGGTCTTATGCAACCAGAAAAGTCGTCGAGAAGGGTGCGGATCGGGGGCTTGCCGCCTGCCTTGCGTGGCCCCTTGGTGAGTAGGTTCTTGAAGAATCTCACGGGGTCTAGGAAAAGACTTCCGACACTCGGCTGCAATGCCGCTCCAATACCCATGCCCTTAACGGTCAAGTGCTTGAAGATTACACCTTGATGTCTCGTCTTCTCCTCTTCTGATGCTTCCTGCCTGGTGTGTCCGAACATCTTTCCCATGAGCTTGTTGATCTCGTCTTCTTCCTCTTGGCTTCGTCCTGTCGCGCTTGTATTTGTCTTGCTGAGACCATTGGCCTGGCTCGTTCTTCGCCTGGACAACGCGCGGAACAGGTCGTCTTCGGTCATGGGTTTCGAGTTCTTCGACTGGAGGCCGGGCCTCTTGGCGGTTTCGGTACGCTTCTCAGACGGCTCCTCTGCCTCATGCTCTGAGTCTGAAGAGTCATCGTGGAGAACTACGTGCTCCTCGACTGGTCCTCCTGATGTCGTCTTCTGCAGGTAGTCGTTGCTTGGAATAGTCTGAGTTGCAGATCCATCGCTGGACACATGTTCGGAAGCTGAATGTTGTATTGCGGCATCTGAGGAAGATCGAACGTCTGGCGATGGTACCGCCGTGGAATTGCTTGAAGCTGAGAATAGCCCTGAGCCTTCTGCACCGTAGTAGCTCCGGCTACTGGTGTGTAAGACGTTGGAGATGAAGGTATTGTGCGTACTCGTTTCATTATTGGTGGCAGACGCGTCTGAAGTAACGTGGGATTGTTGTTGCGACGCGTCTTGTATGTGCTGTTGATCGGAATCCCGGAACGTTCCTGCCTCGTTGGAAGCCATCGCGAGAATCTCCACAGCCTAGGAAGGCCGATGAAAAGTAGTAATCGTTGCGAAACTACCACAAGAATAATCGCTATCCAATGATCGACGGTAAACAAAGATGGCTAAAAGAAGCCGTTTGCAACGGTCTCAGGGGACTATCGCGAAAGTTGCGGGCGTTGTGGGGGATCCGAACGGAGGGACAGTACTATAACATAGTTTCCAGTGACAGTCAACTAGAGCGCTTCGCTGCGCGCACGCACTTGCTACGTGCCTCATGTTTGCGACGCGTCGATAGTTCAATGTTGAAGTGGTGATGTCATGTTGATGTTAGATCCCCAGATCGGTAAATCGGAGTTTAGCCTCGCATCCAACCCGAGAGTGATTCGACGCCTCTTTGATCGATGCACGATCTGGTACATCCGCCATGCGATTTGTGGAGGCGCTAGGTGCCCGCGGGGTGCGGAGAGTTGCTGGTGCGTGGGCGTTGGATATGTTCAGGTGCGTCAAAAGCATGCGAACGCGCGAAGCGTTCGATATCCGCTTCCTTGTTGTTTCTGCTTTATCCTGGGTCATGGGTACACTGCATATTACAGTGCGTGAGCACTGATGGGTAATGTCGAAGTCTTGCTTGATGCAAAGGCGTTCCGAGGAGTAATATGTCGTTGCGTCAGGCAGGAGAAGCCAAGCAGTGCTTGTTGTCTCAGCCACTTGGCCTCGCTTCCACTTTCGACCGACGCAGATGTCCACTTTCCTTATCTTGTCTTCATGCCGCGACTCATCGATTCTAGTCTTGCGAAACCCTTTTGCAATTTCGGATCTCGAGCTAGTTCAAATATGTGTGTTGTTTGGAATTACTGAAGCCTTCCGACTCCAGGCTTGTCACTCACATCTCCGCAGGAGTATATTCCCCTATGTAGACCTCGGGAGGTATAGGAAACGCATAAGCCAACTGAAGGATGATATGACGTCGCAACGGGCTTCTCAACAGGAAACTTATTCGGTCTGATAGGGACAGTTCAACTTCATCCTAATGTCTTAACCCCCCTCCTCAACACGACCTGCAAGACAGCAGACTCTTTGCTAGCGACTCTCAATTTACCAACCACGGTGAAAACAACGAAACTCACTCTACTTGCAGCAGCATCGTTCTAGGCCCAATGTCAAAGTAAGAGAATTGGTGTGGTTTGGCTAGATCCTGCATCCCTTTCGCGTCCATGAACAAGCCGTCACTTCCGGGAATTCCACACAGGACGTTCCCTCTTTCAGCACCCCGCAGTGTCACGACGTGGCGCAGCCAAATCAGGCAACCACTATTTGCTGTCAGTAGACGGATGTGTATGAGACCTAAAAAAAGTTTACAATCCAACACCTGTGCGAGACGCCACAACCTCCAGAAGCCCTTTTGTTGACATCATTTCTATAGCGCATCGACCGGTGTCCTTCTCGAGTCAAGCATCGCGATATGGCACAGACAGGCGGTACATATCGTCGCGAATCGTCATGGTCTTACAGTGTGAGTATAGGCGGTAAGCCTTTACTCAGATCACGTCCAGATAATAGAGAACATGGTACGCCTTCCCTCTGACAGATCCACTACTCGACGTTGACTAATACGCTGCATCAGCGCCCGATGCGAGACCATCGAAACCAAGCCACGATGCTGAAAAAGGAGACGAGACAAAACTTGGCGATGACTGGGAGGTTGTCGAATGGCCCATCGCACAACCCACCGTAGAGCCCGTCGAAGAGCCCATCGTGGACGACACCGAACTGGAGGAACCAGGCTACCGTAGAGTACGCAGCCAGGTCACATTCGACGTCGGCTGGGGAACTTGGAGGACAACTGTGTTTAAATGGGATATGAATGCCAGGTTCAAAGAATCTTGATAGGGCATTTGGGTTGGGTTAGGTAGAGATGTTGTAAACGAACCATGGTACGCTACACCGATATACATCCGATTCACCACCCTAGACCATAGTTCAGCTCACACTGGATATAGTGAATGAGTCATTGGAGTTAATAAATATCGAAAAATAAACTTTAATCTCAGTGCTCTTCATCCATCGTATAGCCTACGACTTGAGTCTTGCGTAAAGATCAACGACTAATCTACCATCCAGACGACTACCATTCCATCAAGTGCCATCTCGACAAACACCTTCGCAAAACCTACCACCCCAAACCTTTACCAGCACGATCCGTGGCCATGTACACACGGGCGCAACCCTACCAACCCCCAAACTTCAACACAATCCTTAACGACCCCGCAAAACACATCGAAAAGATCAAGATGGCCCATCGAACTTCAACCTCATCCACATCCACATCCGCCTCAACATCAACAACAGGCTCACATCAATCTACGACTTCATCAACTTCATACCCATCACCTCCACCTTCACCACCTTCCACACCTTCATCAACTTCAACATCATCCCCCAAATGCAGAAACCCTGCATCTTCAGCACAAAGACCCAAACCAGGACTACTTCTAGACTTGGAAGGAAGGCTTTGGACGACATACGCACGGTCCAAGGCTTTTACGAGGTTAGCGCCACCGGTTTCGAATAAGAATGGGATGGAAGGGTTGCAGCGAGGGGAGTATAATAGGATGGGATAGGGAAGGGTTAGATTGGGGTAAAGAAGGGGTAGTATGGCGGATGTGGATGATAAACTGGATGCATATATGGAATACTATGTCCAACGAAATTTGCAACAAGTTCAGGCCACGGCAATTTTGCATCACAAGAGCATGCATCAAGTGAGATGATTGTTGTCATGGAAAGGTATTCAATTCGCTTTTGCGCTATCCCTCCCTTCTCTCATCCAAGGTTCTTTTTTGACCGCCGCCAATGCAGCTACAACAGCGCCCATGACAAACCCAGCGCTTGACGCCATAACATCCCTAATCATAACAAAAGACATGACATTATCTACACATTTTCACCTTCCATACTATCCAAGCTCAACCTCTCTTCGAACGCACAATCTACTTGGCGTTCTCAGGGCGGAGGGAGCGGACAGCCTTTCCAGCGCGCCAGATCTCCAGGTCGTCAATCTCCTTGAGCTCCTGGTTGTACTTCTCGCGGTAGTCAGGCTGGCTGTTGTACTCGAGGGAGCGCTTGGTCTCGCTGCCGTTCTCGACGGAGGTGTAGAGGTCGTCGAAGACGGGCTTGAGAGCGGCCTTGAAGCGCTTGCTCCAGTCGATGGCACCGCGGCGGGCGGTGGTGGAGCACGCGGCGTACATGTAGTCCATGCCGTTGGCGCCGATCAAGGGGTACAGAGACTGGGTGGCCTCCTCGACGGTCTCGTTGAAGGCCTCGGAGGGGCTGTGGCCGCGCTCACGGAGGACCTCGTATTGCGCGAGGAACATGCCGTGGATTCCGCCCATCAGGCAGCCACGCTCGCCGTACAGGTCGGAGTAGACCTCCTTCTCGAAGGTGGTCTCGTACATGTATCCGGAACCGACGGCTACACCGAGGGCGACGGCCTTCTCCTTGGCCTTGCCGGTGACGTCTTGGTAGACGGCGATGGACGAGTTGATACCACGGCCCTCGCGGAAGAGGGTGCGGACAGTGCGGCCGGAGCCCTTGGGGGCGACGAGGATGACATCGATGTCGGTGGGGACTTCGACCTTGGTGAGGTCCTTGAAGACGGGGGAGAAACCGTGGGAGAAGTAGAGAGTCTGGGAATGTTAGTTCCAATTCTTGTCGAATTGATGAGTACTGCTTACCTTGCCCTTGAGCTGGGGCTTGATGGCGGGCCAGGTCTCAGACTGAGCGGCATCTGAGAGGAGGTTCATGACAATGGTGGCCTTGCCAATAGCCTCGTCGATGTCGAACAGGTTCTTTCCGGGAACCCAGCCATCGGCCTCGGCTTCCTTCCACGAAGCACCGTTCTTCCGTACACCGACAATGACGTTGAGGCCGTTGTCGCGCATGTTGAGACCCTGGCCGTGACCCTGGGATCCGTAACCAATCATGGCCATGGTGTCGTTCTTGAAGTACTCAAGAAGCTTCTCCTTTGGCCAGTCATCACGCTCTGTTTGTTGTCAGCTTTGATCCTGATGCATCGAGAATGGTCAAACTCACCGTAGACAGTCTCCTTGGTTCCGGCAAAGTCAATGGTCTTGACACCACGGGTCTGCTGGAACTGGCTTGTGACAGCCGCGCGGGGAGCAGCCTTCTTAGCACCAGCACTCAGAGCAGACACAAAAGTGCGCTTCTGAGCGGGAGTGGAAGCCAATTGGCGGGCAGTTTGGCGCAGAGCGCGGGTAACAGGTCTTGAGGCCATTGTGAATGTGTGTGAAAGGGGTATCTTGGGGTCAGAATTGTTTGGCGGGGATATGGGCTTTTAAACACGCTGGGCTCGATCGTCAACCCACCCAGAATTTCGAGTTGGGGAGCTTGGACCAGGCCGATTATCGCTGCCCCAGACCGACCGTTCGCGTCCTCGGCCAATCACCGCACGCTATCATAGTGCTAGCAGGGGGGCCGGAGGGTCGTCGGGGAGGAATGCGTGTCTCCGAGAGCGGTTCTGATGATATGAGGCATCGCTGGACCCAGTCATAGTGGATAGTGCGTGGCGGCTGATGACTTGGTGAGATTGACCGTAGTCTAAGCGGGCCTATTTACTACGAGGTAACGTTGCGCAGCGCGGTTTGCGTACAGCTCTCTCAGCCTAGGTAGACGGATACAGATTCAGCATGGCGGTGACGCAATCTTCAAGCAAACATCGCAGTCACAGTAAAGTATCACGAACGGGCAAAACCATCTTTGTGCGCAAATGTGCAGTCATATTGTATGAGATCTTGGAAGACTATCTTGCGCCCGTACGATACCCATGCACCCTCTACATGATGCGCCAGACCATACATGCAGTCGCTAATGTATTGACATGTTCACCTTCAATCTTCTCCCATGCATCAACCCCGTCCTGCAATAAGCCCGTGGCTCGGTCTCATGTCATTGTGATGCATCCGTCCGTGGGGGGGCATTTCGAAGGACTGCTGCGTGAAAGCTTGTGTTGTTCTGATCCTACGCGATAAAGCTCATTTGAGCACGCGATCGAAGTTTTGTCCCTTGACTGTGCCGCCGCCGAGCGATGCGCGCACGTTGCGCTTGAAGCCCTCTCGATTCTGCTTGAGGTCTTCGGCAGCCTCTTTGTTCAGCGGGTCCGACGCGTTCGGCTCGAGGAAGAGAAACTGTGATCTGTCAGCATGCCATTCCACGTCTTGCAACCCTGTAACGTACCTGTAGACCAACGACAACCGCGTTCAAGTTCAATACTGGTTTCCAGTCCTCTCGTAGAATGTTCAAGCAGACGTTTCCCTCCAGATCGATGTTTGGGTGGTAGATCTTCTGTGTGCACTTGACTTTTGGCGGGTCGTGGGGGAAGTTCTGGTTGATCTTGAAGTCGAATCTGAAACGTCCACCCTTGTACATTCCCTCGTCAGGGTCGATCGTGAGTTCGAAGTTGAGGATATCGTCGGGGTTAGGGAAGTGCGTCTTCATTGTTGTGCCGAGAGATAGTTCCTCGAGATCTGTGTCGCGTTAGCTTTGCGAGGGACATGGTATGTAGTCGAGAGATTCCGGTACCTTTTTGTGTTCGCAGCTGGGCTGGGGTGACCTTCTTCTTCTTACTCGAGGCAGCTTGTGCAGCCTCATCCTGCTGCTGCTGTTTCTTCTACAAGATTGTTAGCCGTCTTGCATTACCACGCGACAGTAGGCTTCCAAAGACCTACCATAGACCATATTTTCATCATCTTGGCGGTATTGTATGCGGCGTCCGGGCTATTGCCTGTATAGATGTAACCGCGTTGGTGTGCTGGAATGCGCGCGCGTGAGGGTCGCGGGGCAAACGGCGAGAGGTAGGGGACTAGGTGGCGGTTTGGTGATAGGGAGAGGCTAGTAGAGAAGGCGGCGAGTGCGAGGTCCTGCGAAAGTACAAACGCCAGACAAAAGAAGGGCTAGAGATATTATACGTGAGGGTGAAGACCCATGGATGAGTTGGGCAGGCTGCCACGATCCTCGGGCGTCCGTGCTGCGACGTGGGGTCCAACCACGGTTTCTCCCACTTTACGGCTTAGTCACCCATGGTTCTCAGCCTCCCATCTACACACTCACGATACTCGCACGTACAGTCGAAACATAGTCACAGCAGCCATGACAGCCCTGGTACGAGACGCGTTACACTTTCCAGCTTCTGAAAGCCAGCACTTAGAAGGCTACCTACCTCATGACTCGTCTACATCGCCCCGAGCTCACCAACACGTTTCTAAATCTTTCATCACATTAACCTTCGCTACTTCTCTCGACAGCCAATTAGCCATCGCACCCGGTGTACAGACCGCATTATCTGGCCCGCAATCCAAAGCCATGACGCATTTCTTGAGGTCACGACACGAGGCAATTCTGATCGGAGCCGGAACAGCTATCGCCGACAACCCATCACTAAACTGCCGGATCGAGGGCGTGGGTGGCTATGGTGGAGAGGGACTCATATGGCAACCAAGACCAGTCGTCGTTGATCCTCGCGGGCGCTGGCAATTTAGCGAAGAGAGCAAGGTGATGAGATTAGCCAAGGAGGGAAAGGGAAAAGCGCCTTACATCGTGACCTCCGTGGTGCCGTCCAATACTCAGCGAAAAATACTCGAAAGCGTAGGTGGCGGATACCTGGTTCTGGGACTTTCTCCCGAAGACATTGCTGCATCTGGTTCGTCATGGCATATCATTCTCGATGCTTTGGCGCACCGAGGCATAAAGAGCGTGATGATCGAGGGCGGTGGTTTTGTCATCAATGATATACTGGGACCTGGTCCCGCCTATTCGCTGGTCGACTCGGTGATCGTTACGATTGCTCCTACGTGGCTAGGAAGAGGCGGTGT